TTTACATAACATTTAATTTACACACACAAAATATAAACTTATGCATTTCATTTCCAAAACAAAAGAAAATAAATAAAAAAATTATATACAGGTGGCAACTCTGAAAAATAATATTTTTGCAATAAAGCTTACTAATTAAATTTGATAATATCAACATTTATTAAGTTTTTAATTTGTATTTATTTTTTAGAATTAAATTCATCTGGCAACCGACTTAAATCTAATATCTTTCAAGCCAGCACAAAAATCTGACTTTTACACGTACAAAAAGAGATAATATTTTTAATATGAACTAGATAGATTTTAAAAATTCAATCTCTGTATAATATTTTAAACTCGATAATACAGAAAAATTTCAACTTTTTCATTCAATTAAGTAAAGTAAATTAGGTGGCCACTCTGAAAACTCATATTTATTATAAGAAAAGTTTATTCGATCTTATCTTTCTGCATTTCACATTTTTATTGTTTTTCTTTTTTTAACTCATATGGCAACTCCCTCCAGGTAAACATTTTTCAAAATCAAACAAACCCTGATTAGTAGTAAAACAACAAATAAAGTTATAACTAATTTTAAATATTACTAGTACTAATTTGTCCTAAAGATTATTGTCACTAACAGAACTTAAAAAATTACAAAACAAAAAAAAAAAAACAAGTTTCTTTTTAGATGCTTTATATATTGTATATGGTAGTACATCCCCTCCTTTCAACTCACCTGGTCCCAACCAACCGTCCAATATACCAGATAGTTCTTTAACTCTTATTTGTTGCTCCAACTTACGCTTCACCTGATCGATATTACGCGCCACTTGTCGCATGATTTCGTAGGCTTGCAACACTTCCTTCACATCGCAATGCTTACGAAGGTTCTAAAAGACAAACAACAACTGCATGTAAGTAAAATATATCGAATATTTGTTCATGTGTTGGGCGCTTACGTCCAATAGCAGATGATATTTAAGTATACGTTGCACTGGCTTCAGCAAATATGAGCCGAGTGGCAATTTGTGTTGCAACATTTTTTGTGTGGACGTCAGCAGTGCGTTGGTGTGTGTGGCCTGTAACAGTTTGGTCAGCAGTGATATGGCTTCAGGATAACTTGTACTGAAAGGGAAGACAAACGGGAAAAATCGATCAAATGTGTTAATATTGGAACATACTATTTTTAAGAAATTTAAGATTCGGATTTTTTAAATGATAAAAAATATTTCTTCTTAAATATTATTAGATAATTCAAGTAATGCTACATATAAAATATATGTTTAAATTACTTTATTATTTTAACTTTTAGAATTAAGAATTTTAATAAAGTTGGTAACTCTTATCTAACAACATTTTAGGGCAAGCGCTGGATTATTAACCGCTGTCAAGTATTTGATTAAAAAATTTCGTTTTTACTAAATTAAGTTTATAGTCAGATGGCAACTCAGTAACGAATAATTACGCTTTTTGGCTGTCACTTTTAAAATTATTA